TCCTCCTTGGAACACGGACCTTTGAGGAAAGGGAGCGAGTTCCCACTACCCTCTGGTGCTGGGTTCCTATCCCTGCTTGTGTCGGAAAAGGTGCCTGAGAGAGTGAGTAGCTGAATGGTGGAGGGTTTTCAAAAACCGTCTCGCATTTTAATAACCTGGAGCCTTTACGCTCTGACGAAGGAGATCTGAGTGACTGCCCACCTCTACCCCCATTTCCCCGGGGTGCCGCCCGTGTTGGGTGCTCCTCTGTCTGAGGGGTTAACAGCGTCTGCTCCGCCGCGGCCTGGAGGCGGGGCCCAGGGGTCATGTAGGAACCATTCGGCTTGAACATCCTGGGCGTGCTGGTCTCGTTCATGCTGCTTCTCCAACAGTACCTGGCGCGTAGCAGGCCAAGGGCTTCTTTGCTGCCTGAGTAATAACGACTCAGTGCTGTTCTCAGCTGTTCCAAAGTCATTAATTGTGGGGCCGAACTGTCCTGGTTTGGAACAGGGCTCTCTCCTCTCCTGCGGGAACCAGCTGCCATCAGGGGGGTTGGTGTGAGCTGGCCCTTCCACTGGAGGGGTGCTCGATCCGTTCCCTGGCTGCTGCCCAGAAAGGGTTAAGCCTCGGGCAGCGTGCCTGGGTGTTCTCCAGCCCTGCCTTGCCCCATTACCCTGCCTCCAGCTGAGAGCAGGCCATTAGTTTACTCATAAACAGGTGGCACACTCCACTTGAGCAGCTAGAGATCAAGGCCATTCTCAAGCTGCAGCTCTGAGCGCTGGCTGCTTCCTGCTCCCCGGGGTCACCCGCCACCTCAGTCTCCGAAGTCCAGGGCTTGTCCTTCAGGCAGCTGTCCGTCCCCTGGAGACCCCTAGGTGTTCAGTAAGACCCTGGGGACCTGTGATGTCCATGCAGATGGAGGGGGAATCCATGAGCAGGCTTCCAGCACCGAGAAAGACAGAAGGACCCTGGTCAGATCCTGCACAGGGGCCGAACCAGGGGCAGCCTGGAGACCCCTCATTCCAGCCCTGAGGCCGGTGTCCTACCAAAGTTCAGGAGCCAGAAGCTTACACTATGATTTGTGAAAAATGACATGGAAGTCAAAGTTCAATGTCCATACAGTTTTATTGGAATGAGACACACTCATTTGGGGAGCCGCCATCTCTGGGGGCGTTCGCCGTGTGCGGAGCGGGTAGCTGGGCCCGCACCCAGCGGCACGCAGCCCCGGGGCGGCTGCACGGGTCCCCTGCCTGCTGTGTGAGAAGATGCTCTTGAATAGGAGCTGCCTGCCGGCCACGCAGATCCCAGCCCAGGGGACACACCTGCTCGGGAGCCTGAATTGGATGAGACGTTACCCCCGCAAAGCACCCTGCCTTCTCCTCAGTAGAACTGTGTTCCGACGTATGGGACTGGATGATTATGATTTCCGTTAATAAAACTTCTGGAGAATTCTTTTCTCTCTCGTTTTTTTCATAGTATCTTAGGTTTTGTCTCGGGCCCATAGAGTATAAAATGTTTGCTACCTGCTCCTTGATGGAGGCTTTCTGACCTTTGACCGAGACCCTTGAACTGCGTCATTATTTTGTCTTTTCAACTCCACGTCCTAGGTTGTCTTATATCCGGACAGAGCCTAAAAATCCTTTGCAGACCACGGGCAAATCTGGGCTAGAAATGCTCTCACCACCCTCAGCAGCGCACAGAAATGTAAGGGGCGGAACCGTTGGACCGCAGCCCTGGTCCCCGCCCCCTGACCAGCTCTGTTCTCCCCACCAGGCATGTGCAGCACCCCCCTCCACACGCCCAGGGACGCCCCTGTGACTCATGAAGGGCCCATTGATTTTCCTGTCCTCCGCTCTGCCTCCGCATTAATGAATCCTGGTCGCTGGCTGGATCAGCTGATTCCAAAGCAGTGGGCGGTTGCATATCTATCTATCAAACACCGGGCCAGCGGCCCGATCGCTGGGCGATCCCACCTGGCAGAAATCACAACCACCCGGGACCAAGGTGGTGCCCTGGGAGGAGGGAGCTGGAGTCCCGTTTGGCTGATCTGGGCCACCTTCTGTCGTTGCTCTAGCTCTCAAAGCCTGTACCTCCTCCCCAGTAAAATGTGGGGCTCGGGCTGAGGTACTCCGGACTGAAGACTGGCAATGGCACATCCGTGGGGACAGTTCCACGTGTTGCCAGTGTCCCCTCCCCCCACCCCTGCAAGCAGTGAAACTCAGCCCTGTAGAGTTCCTCATCTGCAGCCTGGGACAGACAGACAGACAGAATGTCTCTTTAAGTATCTCCAGCCCTTCCCCCGCCCTTCCCCCTCACCCCTTGACCACATGGCCCCAGGGTTTCTGGACTGGGCTCCTGTCCCACAGGCCGGGGCTCAGCCAAACCCCATTTCTTCTTCCAGGATCAATTATTTTTGCTTCTTCTTACCTTGAAGAACAATAATGAATCACACTGAGCCCCACAGTCCTGTCCATTATTCCCTCCCTGGTCTGCCTTTGGATTTCCTCTTTGGTTGAGTAATTTGGCTTTTACAATATCCTTTCCATGCTAACAGAGAGGAGAGGAGCACCTGGGAGGGGCTGCTGGGAGCTGCTTGGCCTCCTGGGCCAGGAACGCGAGCTCCTCAGGCCTGTTTCTCCCTCACTGTCACCCCCATCCCTTGGAGCTTCGGTCATCCAGCTCCGATGCCTTTTTCTCTTAAGAATGTCATGTATTTACACTAGTATTCTGCCTTGAGGCATTGCTCCCCTGCCCTGCCCTGACGCACAGAACAGGGACATTCAGACGCCGTGGCCCAGGGTTGGGGGTGGAAGGCAGGAGGTTGGAGGACGAGTGTGTGAACCAGTGGCTTGGAGACTATCTCTGCATTAGTGGACGTCTACTGTCCTTCTGCTCCAGCCTTGCCTCCTCTGGGCAGGCTTCCTCCTGGACTCTCCAACACACGGGAAGCCCCCTTCTTAGACCCTTTATTGCTGTAGGGGGTCCCGTCTTCTGGGCAATGCCAAACCGTGGGAGGCTAAGAAATGCCAACGTCTGTCTATGGCACCGTGCATGACATTGACCTCTTAGTGAGTAACCAGTTCCCCTGCCTCCATCTCTTCTTCCTACCCTCTTCTTTCTCCTTCCCTGCAGCCCTCATTTCTTCTCAGGGGAACAGAACCACAGGAGGGGCCAGGCCAGCTGACCAAGGAGACCCCCTTCCAGAGCCGGGCCCTGCCCTTCAGCTGTGCGACCAGGAGTCTTGTGTACCTCCCTCCCAGGAGCTCCTGGCACCACTACCAGGAACTCCCCGCTCATCACAGACAAGCACTGATGGGGTCTTTGTGTGGTCAGAGCCCTGCAGACATGCCTTTTACTGCTGTGCCCGTGAACTTCAGGCTGCCCAAGTGTTGGGGACCTTGGTTCTAAACAGCCGTATCTTGCCCAGGGAAGCTGGCCCCTCACACCCAGTCCCTCGCCCAGTTGGCACCGTGGCCAGCCTCCTGTGGGGAAGGAGAGAGCCCGAGGGGCTGGCAGTGACGTCATCAAACTGTAGGCCTGCAGGATCAGCGTGGGCAAATTGGGTGGCAGCGGGATCTAGTGGGACCAAAAGCTTCAGGGACCTGCATGTCGACTCTGCCTATGACCTCATTCCCTGGTGACACTGTGGAGTCCCCAACTCTCCCAGCCTCAGGGTCCCTTTCTGTGCAGCAAGGTGTAGCCTATTCCAAGTTTTCTGAGGCTATTGACTGTCTTACACTGTGTCCCTTCCCTTTGCTCCCCTCGGCCACCCCCACATCCGCCTCTCCGTCTGGGAGACCCTAGCTCCCCACGGAAAGGGACTCCCCAGGAAAGGAGCCGTGGGGTTCCAGGGAGGCCCACGTTTCACTTTCCAGTTTCCCCGGTGTTGCTGTCCTGTGGTCAGCCCCGGTCTCCCCAGTGCTCGGTAGTGCACTGGGTAAGAGTCAGCCGTGGCATCGGCCAACCTGTGTTGGAATCCTGGCTGCGTCTCCTTCATTGAGTTACGCAGTCTTCCTCTCCAGGCCTCAGTCTTCTCTCCTTTGAGATGGGGACAGTAGGTAGCATCGATCGCATTGGATTGTTTTGAGGATCAAGTCTAACGGGACAGGTCCAGTCCTAACGTAGTGCCTGGCACGTGACAAACCAGGAGTGGCTGCCATTGGCACCATCATTATTGTTGCTGGTATCCACCACCTCCCCTCTTTGCCACTCCGGGGAACAGAGCCCTCCAGATCCCACGGGGGCAGCTTGGCATGGCCTGTGCAGGCAGTCGGGGGGCCTGGCTTGAGCTCTCTGTGTGCGTATACGAGGAGGGGACTCCCACCAGAAAACCTCGTTTCCACGCACAGTTCTCAGTGCACACTGTGCCAGGCACCCCTGTGTATTGCCCATGCACACACTCATGGGCTTTTGTGAGGGCCAAAGAGCTCCCACCGTGTGGCCCCGGCCCCAGCACCTGCCCACTGCCCTCTGTGAACTGGACTCGACAGTGCCGGTGCCATCACCACCAGGATCAGCCACGTCTGGTGCGTGATGAGGCGCCAGCACCAGGAGACCTGAGCAAACCCTGGCTTCAGGCACGTTGCCCAACCACCCGGACCCTCAGCTTTCCCATCTGAATAATGGGGCAGCCCCATCCCTTCAAGGGGCCGCTGGGGGGTCACGGCACAGCTGTGAGGGCGGCATGAGCTGTGAACACCGGGCGATGCCCAGGCCGTAGTTTGCGTTCAGTGTGGATGGGCTCCTTCCGCACGCCCGCCCCCATGCCTACAAGTTCCCTCTTTTCCGTGGGGCCTCATCCTGTCTCCACGCCAGTGTGAAGGCAGCGAAGAGCCTTGGGCCTGTTCTTTCTTTGCCTGCTGTCCCGAAAGCCTGCAGCCCAGGATGCACTTGGCACCAGGTAGAGTCAGCCAGCAGCTCAGAAACAGGACGGCAGGGAAACTCACAAGGAAGCAACACATGTGCTTTTTTGTTTATTTATTTTATTTAATAAGAAAATAAGAAAAACCAAAAAACCCACATTTCCCAAGGTATGTTATGACAAGAGATCAGGCATGCAAAAATACAATAAAAAGCAAGAAAAATCCCCCCCAGACCCCCGGGCGGCGGGTGCAGGTGGTGGTCCCGTCTCCCAGGCAGTCACCTCTCCCGGGCTAGGAAAGCAGAAGTGCCTGTTCGGCCCTGTTTCTCTTGGAAGACTCGGCCACCTCTCGCTCACTGGCCCATGACATGCACCCGAGAAGTTGTTCTACACAAGGGCTTGCAGGTGGGTAGCCCTGGGGTGGGGGACTCGGGGTGCGCCGCTCCGGGGCTGGGTAAGCAATGCCCCTCTGTGGGGATGGGCTGGACACACCGTCCTGTGGGGGCACAGCTTCACTTTCCCTCCCAGCAACGGGAGGGTCTGCAGAGAAGGTGGGGGCCACAGAATAACTTGGAAACGGACCAGCTGTGCCCAGGACTGGGGCTAAGCTTTGCGGGATGACCAGGGGGCAGTGGAGGTACCCCTAGCTCTGCCCCTTCCTGGTTTGTGTGACCCCGGGAGAGTTACTTAACTTTCTAAAACCCCAGTTTTCTTATCTATTAAAGGAGGAAGTTCATATGAACCCCATAAGGTAACTGTACATAGTAAGTGTGGCCATGCCTTCAAAGAGCTTGCTCAGGCTCCCAGCACACAGTAGGTACTCAACGAATGGCCGCCACAGTTACTGTTAACCCAGCACCAGCACTTCCATTGCAAAGTTGGCAGGAATGTGCTCAGGTATATAGGACAAACAAGAGGTTAGTGTGACCTTCTAGAAACAGGATAGAGAACTCTGAGCATCCTGTGTCTGTCGGGTCAGTTGAGAGGTATGGACAACAGGGGTGCTGGCCAGCAGGGCCTCAGCATGCCCCTCTGGCTTTGGAGGGCTCCGTTTTAAATGCCGGTGCCCTCCGCGGGGTAGAAGACGTTGTTGGTGTCGTCACTGCCATAGAAAGGAGGGCCGACCTGGCTGACCACAGCACCTCCGTAGCCCAGAGTGTTAGCGGGCATGGGGTTGGCCCACTCAGCTCCCACCCCCTGGTTGGCGAGGGGGGCCCCGTAGCTGCCCAGGTTGGTGAGTGGGGCATAGGTGTTGAAATTCACCAGATTCTGCCCCATCTTGTCGGCAGACTCGGGGCTCAGGCCTGGGGCCACCACCGGGCGGCTCACGGGGCCCGGCCCATTCACATGGGTGGTCATAGAGGAGAAGAAGCTGTTGAGGCAGGGGGTGCTGGGCGGGGCCACGGCCAGCTGCTGCTTCGGGGAGCTGGCGACGCCCGGCGGGGTGGCGGCCTTGGCGCTGGCCGCCAGGGGACTGCCCTTCATCTTCTCCGGGGCCGGGGAGCTCGCGGCAGAGGAGGCATCCGCCTTCCTCTTCCTCTTCCTGCGGAAGTTCCCGTTGTCGAACATCTTCTCGCAGTTGGGGTCCAGGGTCCAGTAGTTCCCTTTGCCTGGTGCAAAAGCAGGGAGAGGTGAGCAGAGGGACAGACACAGGGCTCAGCTTCTGCGTCTCCTCCTCGGGGCCCATCGGACCACGAGAACCGGAAACTGAGCGAGGCATCCACAAAGCCAGAAAGCAAAAGTCCGAGACGGGGGCATGGAGAAGCGCCACCGGCCAGCCCCACCCCCACCCCCACCCCACCCCGCCCATCTTCTCTTAGCGCCCCCTGGCAGCGGGAAAGGCAGGGAGGAGCGAGCCCGGAGCTGTGTGCAGTCGGTCTCCTTAGAAGAAGTTCAAGGACAGCGTGGGGGTGGGGTGAGGTGGAGAGACCAGGTGCGTCCATAAAACTCAGGACAAAATCGGGGCTCCCCGAAAGTCTCCGGCCTGGAGTCCAAAAAAGGACTCGGGTCCCGGCTTTGCCCCTCCCCGACCGAGGACCTCCGGGAGCCAGTTTTCTAGTCTGAGCAGTGGGCCCTTTCGTGCCGTCCCTCCTCCCTCCAGCTGGCAGGGAAGAACAAATACTCGGTGTAGACTTTGAGGTCCGAGGCCGAGCTAAGGCCTGACCTCTGCCTGCCCCTCTCTATCTCTTGGCCCGAGGGTAAGGCCAGCTAAGGGACGAGAAGGGACAGAGTCCTGCCCTTGCTGGTCTCGCAGTAGGCGGCCGCCGGAGCTGGGTCCCTCTGCGCCAGACCTTGGCTCCCTGTGGGGGAAACTGGAACGGGGACTTCAGTTTTGCAAAGTGGAGACGGGAGTGTTTACGACTCTCGGTGTACATCTCCGTATTGCAAAAACTCGCCCTTCACCAGGAAAGGTCGGCAGTCCCGCGTAAGAGAGACCTCGGCTGGCTCACATTCCAGCCCAAGGCCGGCTGCGTCTCCCCGCCTGGGCTTTTCCTTATCTGCAGAATGGGTTTTCCGCAAGCTACCCCGCAAGCAGTGCGTTCAAGGAGGAGATATAACCAGGGCAGCAGCAGAATGCTGCTCGTGGCGTTTCTTCCCAAGGACCCCCGAGGGCGTTTAGTCCAGTCTCTTCCCCTCCCCCTCCCCCCACCAGGAATTCTTTGCGGCAGAACGAGCGCGCCTGGGAGCGCCTGGGAGCGCCTGTGCGCGCTGAACCTTTTCTCCCACTGTCCCGGCCCCTCCACCAGCCTGGGGAAGAGGCTCGGTTAGCGCCCCTGTTGTTCAGACGGGGAAACTGAGGCTCGGCCAGGGTGGAATGTTCTCCTTCACAGCTGACGCCCCCTCCCACTGTCCGCCGCCCCCCGGCGCCCTCCGGGAGGCACAGCAGGAAGGGAGGCTTCCGTGGGTGCCCCCCGGTGGCTTGCGGAGATAGTGCCTCCCCGCTCCGTGCTCCCAGCTCCGTGCTCCCAGCCGCAGGCTCCCAGCCCCGCTCACCTGGGTCGTCCTCGTCACGGGGCACCTTCTTGAAGCAGTCGTTGAGAGACAGGTTGTGGCGGATGGAGTTCTGCCAGCCCGCCTTGCTCTTGTTGTAGAAAGGGAAGTTGTCGGCCACGTACTGGTAGATCTGGCTGAGAGTGAGGCGCTTCTCCGGAGCACCGTGAATAGCCATGGCAATGAGGGCCGAATAGGAATACGGGGGCCGCACCAGCTTCATCAGCTCCTCCTGGGACGGCATGGGCATCCAGCCCACCTCGCCACCCCCCATGCCGGGCATACCGGGAAGCATCTGCCTCTGCACCCCATAGGCCTGTGGCATGTAGGGGCCGGGGCTGGGATTCGGCACATAGGGCTGCGGGGCCATAGACTGCCCGTTGAACCAGACGTAGGGGTTAGCTGTGGCCCCGGTGGCCCCCGTGGCCCCGTACTCACTGCCCGCCTCGAAGGAGGGGTTCCGCTGAGGGGCCGGCAGGCCCTGTGGGTGGAAGACGTTCTCATAGTACACGTTCACCTCCGGAGGCTCCTGGCCGATGCTGGGGAACTGCGGGTTTCCCCTTGGGGGCGACGGCCCTGAAGGATCGAAGGAGCTCATGGTGGAGCTGGACTCTGCCGGACTCTGCTGGACTCTCCGCGGACACCTGCTGGCACCTGCTCGGAAAGCTGTCCTTTTGCAGGTGTTCCTCAAGTCCCAGTCTTACACTTACTTATACACCTGAGGGCTTGGCCCCACCCAGGGGCGGCCACCTGGGAAGGTGGACCCGCCCATTTGCCCTCCAGCAGGCTGCAGTGCCCACAGGACAGGAACCTCCTTGCTGGCCGCAAAGGGTCCCACTAATGACATGCTCAGACCTGCCTCTTCCAAGATGTTTTCTCTTTCCCTGTCCATCTCCTGTTCTCTCTCTTTCTCTGTCCCTCCCAGTCTGTCCCATTTTCCTCCCTTCTCCTTCCTCACTCTCTCATGTCTTCCTACCCTTTTGCCCCCCCCTTCTACTCTCCCCTCCTCTGTGCACCACAGTCCTTCATTCTTCCTTCCCTGTCCCCTGCACTGCTCACGCCCCCTCCTGGGCTTGCTCTCCCAGTTTGTTTCCAGCGCCTCTGCTTCTCCTGCTTCCCTCACTTCCCTGCCGTTGCTGCTCCTCTTTGGCCCCCTTTCTACCTGGTCCCCCTTTTCGCCGTCACTCTGACCCCTGTCCGCTTTCCCACCAGACCCCTCAGTCTCAGCCCCTCCCCCAGAATGAATGAGGCGCTTTATCAGGAGCCACATTTTGGGGGCTTCTGAAGTGAAGACACATTTTCTGGAGTTTCCGGGAAAGAACCTGGTTCTAGACCAGCAGGAGAAGGGCAGCCAGTTATGTAGATGACCTCCTGCCACACGCACGCACAACACGTATGCACACATGCACACACACACGTGCATGCGTGTACACAAGCACACACACACATGCACACCGCAGCCAGGCAGAGAACGGGCTGTAGACAGGTCGTGAAAGTGACAAGAGGAAGAGACTGTGGACTGGACCTTGGGGACGAATGAGTGAAACCCGTACTATCCAAGCTTCTTTCTGGCTGCGGGCCGGGCTGGCTCTTGGTTGTTTATCTGATCCAAGTCCTTTCATGTTCCAGCTTGCAGAGGCCCCTGGGAGCTGGGCCTGGAGGTGCATCCTCCACCCCTCGGCACCAGCACCCCCACCTGGCCCTCCCAGGCCCAGGCTCCAGGACTCTAGCCTCTCCTGCTTTGTGCCCAGGGACCCCCTCTTCAGGCTTCATCCTTCCATAGCTTGGACATGACTTTTCCCAGCCTGCCCCTCATCCCAGGGCAGGCCCTCAGCTTGGGGAGTGGGCAGTGGTGCCCCTGGTCAGAACATAGGCAGCTGTCCCCTGACCAGGTGTGAGTAGCAGCCAGAGACTTCTCTTTGGGGTCAGCAGATTGGAAGAAAGTCCCCGCCAGCCCCTCTTGTCACCGCCTCCCTCCTGCTCTTACAGCTTCACTTCCTTCTGATTTTCCGCTTCCTCCCATTTCCCACAGACCCCGTAGCTTTTGAGACCAAAGGTGGTCACACGGGCCCAGCAGAGGGTGCCTCCCAGGGATCCTGGCCCTGCTGCATTGGAAGACGTGGGGGAAGCTGCCGTGACAGGCACGGAGCTTTCCCGGCAGCATCGTGGTCTCCGGAGGATGATTTGGGTAGCTGGGTGCGAGGGGGGCTCCCAGGCCCCACCATGGAACAGCACACGGTAGCTCTGAAAGGGCCCTTCCCAGAGTTCTCTTCCCAGAGTAAAGCGAAGAGGTCACATGTTTGTCTACAAAGTTTCTACTCCACTGGCTTGCTGCCATCTTTTTAAACAGCGGCCACCAGAGAGGAAGTGGCCTCCCCTCCACTTCCTTCCCATGGCTCATCCCACAGGATCAGGCAGCGGCGGCAGCAGCTCCAGGGCCGCCCACCACGGCACCGTTCGTTGCTCTCCCACACTGACCTGAGTGTCCCACTGTAGGGGGTTGGCTAAATAAATTTCGTAGCATCCAGGTGATATAATATTATGCGGCAGTGAAAAATAGAAGGTAGAATATTTACAGATGTGGAGAGATACTTACATTTTAATAGTATTAGAGAAACAGGCTGCAAAATGCCACGATCGGCGAGGGGGTGGGGAAAGTACATATATATTCATACACAAGCATGAAACCGGTACGTAAAAATACCACGCTGTCGATTAGGATTTCCGCATGGAGAATCGGATGTGGTTTTTGTTATCATTGTTTTTCCATAGTCTCCGAATTAAATGATTAGAGAAAAGCAGGTAATTTGCTTTTGGGGATTCGATGCAAAAGCCCAGCAAGAGGCAGTAGAGTGGAGCTAGAGGTCCCGGGTCCAAATCCCGGCTTTGCCAATGAACGACAGCCAAGCTTTCACCTGATTTAACTTTCCTCGGCGTGTGTTCGCAGGTGAAAACAGGAATGATACCACGTGACCCTCGTGGTCACCGGGGGAACCAGTGTGGTCAACATAAATCACTTCACTCGGAGCACAGAGGTGCGCTCGGGAGCTGACGGTTATAGTGGGACAGTCAACACACATTCGATCATATAATTGTCCCTGAGTATGCGATGTTCATCGTCCCCTTCAGCAGCTGCTGAGGGGTCAGGGGAGGCCCCGAGTCACAGAACAAGTCCCTGGCTGACCCCGGTCAGGGCCTGGCTTCCACCCCCCTGGAACAGGGGGGTCTCTGCCTGGGCAGAGAATCGGGGGACATGGGACAAGTTGGCTTCTAGCTTAAACTCTCTGTGTCTCGGTTTCCTTATCTGTAAAATAGGGATGAGCAACCACAGGTTTTCTTGAGACTGCCTACAAATATTCCTCTGTGCACAGCACTGAGCCTCCTGTCCTGCCTGGACGGGGTTCAGGGAGAGCTGTCTCGGTACTTTGGGGGCCACTGTGGGGCTGACTTCCCCATCCACGAGTGTGGGCTCTGGGGAAGCCTGGCCCCGCTGGGACCCAGGCTCAAGTTCCTGTTGGCACATCTGGGTTACTTTTAGACTTATGGTGGATTTGGTGGCTGGAGAAACATAGGCCAATGGTACCCTCTGGTGGCCATCTCTTTAAAAGCAGGGAGCAGAGTGCAGAGGCTGGGTGACATTTAAGTTGGCCCAGGGTTTCTGAGCCCCTGTGGGGGACAGGTTCCCGGGAGGTAGTACAGCTGCAAGGAGCAGGTGCACCCCTGGAGAGGGACACCTCAGCGCTGGTGATGGAGATAGTGGACACTGGATTGGCAATGAGTCGAAATGTCCTACAGGGCAGCCAAGGGGAGCATCGGGACTCCCTTTTGTTTGTCTCAGTTCCTCCTTCAGCCTGAGCCTGGGGAAGGGAGAAAGCAAGCCCCTCCACACTCAAGATGAAGCTGAAATTCCTTTCCCTAGGAGAGGAAACGTGGCCCTTAGATCCCAGCAACCTGTGAATGGGGCTGACGTGAGCTCTGTCTCAAGCAAGGGCAGAGGGCAGGGAAGCCAAAAGCAAGGGGCCTCGGGGTACTCACAGAGAGGGTGAGGGAGCCCTTGCGGGGCAGGGGGACTCACCCAGAAAAAAAAAAACAAAACAGGCTTAGGGGCACGCAGGTCTGATTCCAGACCAGTTCCACTGATCACAGCTGTGGGGGAGCCACTCACTCTGCAGCGTGAGAGGACTGGAGGGAGTGATCTCTCAGGGTCCCTGAAGACCCTCCATCAGGAAAGAAAAAGAAGACAGCAAATCGGCCCTTCCTCTGCCCGTGCCCACCCCACGGCACCCTCACTCTGGGAGTGCCAAAGGCACTGTGCCCCTCCCTGGGTTGTGAGCTGGTTTGGGATGGGCCTTGCTCACAATAAGGGACCCCCTCCTCGCCCTGTGGCATAGGCAGGGTGGGGCTAGACACACGGCCCCCACCCTCCTGGGTCCTGGGGGCTGTCATCGGCCCTTCGGGAGGGACTTTCAAAGCTTGGACTGTGCAGTCCAACGTTGAGCTCAGGTCAAAGGCAGAAAGTGAACGTGTGGATGAACATCACGAGGCTGGACGTGGACAGAGCTGGCCCCCCAGTAGCTGGGTGACGAGGGACACTCACAAACTCCCCAAGCCTTGGTTCTCCTGTCACCGCTGTTACCATCAGCATTGAGTTACTGCCTGTGACCCGGCGCCCCAGGCCCCTCACACAGACTTAATACAACACCTTGGACTTCATGCAGAACTGACATGCCCCAATGATTTGGAGAAAACCAAACTCGGAAATATTATCACTGTGCTGCTGAGTGAGAGATCGGAGTTCTGTGCAGAAAGCAGAGATACCTGCTGAGGTTCACTGGCCTTCACTGTGACCTTCACCGTGCTGTTGAGTTAGGAAACCCAGAAATTACGGCATTTCTAGAGCTTAAAGCAGGCTTTCCCTGGACGCAGCCCCGGTCTTCGAACCCGGTGTTTTGTCTGGGCTGGGGAGGGGTGGGGTCGTCCAGCTCCTCTGCCCATGTGCACTTTTCCTGTCCCTCTGGCTAGTGAGTCCAGCCAGAGGCCCAGCCTCCGGGAGCCGTCCCTCACCTCAGGGAGCCTGGGACGCAGCCAAACCCCAAGCCCCTCCGGAATGGGACTTTCAGACTGTTGAGGAAACTGGAAGCTGGACCAGCAACAGTTCTGGGGCTCAGCGAGGGCACTCGAAGGCCCCGGGGAAGAGGCGGGGTGAACGATGGCAACCGTGGGACTCTGATGTCCTGGGTTTAAGAGCTAGCCCGGGGTAGGGGTTCAAAGCCAAGCTCCCACCAGGTCACCTGGGTTCAGACCCCGGCCTTTGCATTCACTGAGTACATGATCTCAGTCACTTCCGGCCTCTGTGCCTCAGTCTCCCCCTCTGGGGCAGAGTCGTACCCGCCTCCTAGCGCTGCTATCAAGATGTAGGAAGTTAATTCTGGTCCAGTCTATAGCTCAGGGCCGGGGAAAGTCAGGGCTGCATAAATCCGGGCTACTGTCATGATTACCCTCATCCCTCATGGTCCCCGGGCGCTGAGGCTCTAAGGAGGCACCGGCCCCGAGGTCTCTTGAGGGCTCAAGCTCTGAACTCCATGTTGCTGTGCCCTCAAAACCCACCTGGTACCAGTCTCCTTCCCAAATGAGCCCCCAGCCCCTCCTTCTGGCCCAAGCAACTCTTC